TTCGCACGCGTCGCAAGCCTCTTCGCAACGGACTTCACGGTGCTCAACATCGAAGAAGCACGCACAGCATCCTCTTCGATTCGCCGCAGCTGCTGCTGCTCAGGCGCAGTGTGCACGATCAAGGAACAAACCATGCAAAGGGTGCGCTCACTTGGGTGACGCAAACCCAAGTCCACCATGGCTTGCAAAACCATTTCCATCTTCTTCAACTGGGTCTCCTCAGAAAAAAGAGTATCCCACATGGTCCGGCGCATGAAGACAGGATAAGTCATCCAGTCTTGCATTTCAGCCCGAACCGCAGCCTGTTCCGGCTGCTCCGGCTGCTGCGCATTTGCAGCTGCCATGCTGTCGACCACTATGGGAACCTATTTTCTACGTTTGAGACGAAAAAAGCTGCAACATATTGCCAAAAACATATGAAAAACTGCAACAACTCACCGGGTATCAAATATACCATGAAAAAAGCTAACTCGTGTAACTTCTAACTATCTTTTTTGATGCTATAAGGTATAAGTTACATAAATCATGTTATAAGTCCACAACTTAGTTATATCTTCAACATGAGTTATCATACTTATAACCATAGTTAACCCTACTTATAACCCTAGTTAACCCTACTTATAACTTAACTTATAACTTGGGGGCACCACCTTGTAGTAGTAGTAGTAGAAGAAGTAGTAGTAGTAGTAGTGGTGGTGGTGGTGGTGGTAGTACTAGTAGTAATAGTAGTAATAGTAGTAGTAGTAGTAGTAGTAGTGGTAGTAGAAGTAGTAGTAGTAGTAGTAGTAGTAGTAGGCGCAGCGCCTCCCCCCGCAATGCGGACCAAGAAAGAAGCGCGTACGAACCCGAATCATCCATGCTGATGGAAAAAGCAAAAGGAATAGGAGTAGGTAGCAAGGGGAGCCGGGTACGAAATAAAAGCGGGTGGGGGGTGCAGGGGGGAGCGCGCAGCGCTTCCCCCCGCAATGCGGACCAAGAAAGAAGCGCATAGGAACCCAAATCATTGATGCTGATGAAAAAGGCAAAAGGAATAGGAGTAGGTAGCAAGGGGCCCCGGTTACAAAATGAAAGCGGGTGGGGGGGTGCTACCAAGAAAGAAGTACGAAGAAAGAGGCACATAGGAACCCAAATCGTTGATGTTGATGGAAAAAGCAAAAGGAATAGGAGTAGGTAGCAAGGGGCGCCGGTTACAAAATAAAAGCGGGTGGGGGGGTGCAGGGGGGAGGGCGCAGCGCCTCCCCCCGCAATGCGTACCAAGAAAGAAGCGCATAGAAGCCCAAATCAATTGATGGGGGCAAAAGGAATGGGAGTAGGTAGCAAGGGGCGCCGGTTACGAAATAAAGCGGGTGGGGGGGTGGCAGGGGGGAGGACGCAGCGCCTCCCCCCCAGCAAAATGCGTACCAAGAAAGAAGTACGAAGAAAGAAGCACATAGGAACCCAAATCGTTGATGCTACTGGAAAAAGCAAAACAGGGTTACAAGGAGCGCCGGTTACGAATAAAAGCGGTGGGGGGGTGCAGGGGGAGGGCGCAGCGCCTCCCCCCGCAATGCGGACCAAGAAAGAAGCGCATAGGAAACCAAATCATTGATGCTGATGGAAAAAGCAAAAGGAATAGGAGTAGGTAGCAAGGGGCGCCGATTACAAAATAAAAGCGGGTGGGGAGGTGCAGGGGGGAGGGCGCAGCGCCTCCCCCCGCAATGCGTACCAAGAAAGAAGCACGTAGAAACTAGTTTCCATGGATATTGATGAAGATCAAGAAAAATAAGATGAAGTCAAATAAACGATGCTCATGACAAGAAGGAATGAGAGAAGGTAAGAAGGGGAGCCGAATCAAACATAAAAGCGGGTGGGGGGGTGCAGGGGGGAGGGCTGCCGTACCAAGAAAGAAGTACGAAGAAAGAAGCACATAGGAACCCAAATCATTGATGCTGATGGAAAAAGCAAAAGGAATAGGAGTAGGGAGCAAGGGGCGCCGGTTGCAAAATATAAGCGGGTGGGGGGTGCAGGGGGAGGGCATTTCCAAAAACCATGGCAGGCGTGGGACATTAAGATGCATTTCGCGTGGCAGGCGCAGTACAAAAGACATGTTCATGAGAGATGTTAGGAGGTCAGGGCGCTGATTTTGCGTGACAGGGGCAGCACTTCGTAGGTAGGTAGCTAGATAGCTAGATAGCTAGATAGCTAGATAGCTAGCTAGATAGATAGATAGATAGAGAAGAAGAAGGGGGGGGAAGGGGGGGGGACCTCAGAAGGATATTGAGGAATCAGGATGGGGGGGGGGGGACCTTGGAAAGGAAGAGTATAAGGAGTGGGGGGGGAGGGGGGGGAGATCGTGGGGGCACAACGGAGAGTAGAGGAGGGGGGGGGGAGGAGGAAAACAAGCGGAGCGAACGAAAGGAGGGAAGGGGAAGGGTTTTTAAGAGAAGAACAGATAGAAATAAACAAGGAACAGGCATGGTACCTCATACGTCAAGGAGGGGGGGGGGACCCCCCCCCGAGGAACCTTGAAACGTCAAGGGGGGGGGAGGGACCCCCCCCCCAAGGACCTTGAAATCAATCCGACCGCCTAATGGCGAACTCTCTCTAGTCCTAAAAAAACATATTCCACATGGCCCAGCACGACCATATGTTTCATTTGTGGAAATCCAACAATCAAAACAGCAAGTGGGCCTCAAAGACTACCGCTTACATCGCCCGGACGCCTTTAGTTTTTGCTCCTTTTCTTCCTTATCCCAGTTGTCACTCTTTGCCTTCTGCCTTCCAAGCCGTGTTTCCTGGTACCCCGTATTTCCTTACACTATCCTGCAAAACGTGCAACAATTGACAGGCCCCGCATCTAGAAAAGCGGGTCACGAGAAGCATGATATCATATACCACAACGCTTTGGTATACAAACATGCAAATATCGTTTCACACTCATTGCTCATGATTGCTTGCAGGTTGCATTACTTTCAAAATATAACTTTACTTGATGTAAAATGATGTAAATATTAATATCTGCAAAAACATACATTACAAAACGGGAAAAAGGCGAACCACCAAGTGATTTGATTTACTCTGTGTGATTTTCAATGACAAAATTGTGTTGTGGCTACTTTTTTCTGAGACCCCTACCACGTAGTTTTGTTTAGTATATTTTTTGAACAAGAATGTTTCAAGAAAGGCAAATCAGTTTGAAGAAAAAAACAAGGTATTTGTCTTGGTTTCCCAACTTTTGACCTCAGTCAATGTCAACAACAAAATAAAAACCCTCAACATTTAGATATTATGAGTTTTTGAGTTGTTTGCGCGCGAAACAGTCGTACTGAGAGAACCCATACACACTCACTGAGCTACACTTTACACATCTTTACACCGTACATATGCTGGATTCCTTTGATGAAACATGAATGCTGGGACAGAGTGGTTGCCTCGCTAAAACCTGCTAAAGGACAAATTGTTGATGTCCAGGAGTGGTCGCGCACACTTGTCACATGTTTCTTTCGGCAGAATCATGTTTCATTATATTGCGTGGTTGTGCTGAATTCAAAAGATGATTTGCTTGCTATAGCCTGGCCGCCTGGCCATGCCAGCCAGATATTCATGAGACCACAAACGGCTTGAAGGCAAAAACACATGACATACTCTCACAATCTCTCATAATATATGTATGATTGTTGTTCTAGTTCATCGGTACTTCCTTTCGCGCTTTTGGTGGAGCCATGAAGTCACAACACGGAGAGGATGTTCATTTAGAACGCAACAAGTAGATAGTAGCGATCAACTATTGTAGGTGTAAGCTGGTGAAGCATGTTGAAACCAAAACTAGCAGTTGGAAAGATGATTGTTCACATTGACATGTTTTCCGTTGAACCACGCGCACCCCCACTCAGAACATGAATTGGATGAGCAAAGGAAGAAATCACGGACTTGCCACACCATTCCTTTTTTATCCTTTTTTAACATATGGCTACAATGCACAATGCCTTCACATAGTGACTAATACTACTTGCAAGCTGTCGTTGAGTTCCCCAGTAGAAAGAACTGGAAGCAAGGAAGTGAAGGTTAGCGATGGTGGTGGTTGCTTCCAGTCTCATAAAATGAAGTCAATTCTCGTTTGGGCTCTTCTTGAAGGCCAAATTCCAGCAATGTGTTTCTCAACATTTTGTCAAGGCCGTCGGTGCCTGACTAAATATTTATGTTTAAATGGACCAAACTCATTTATGCGGGGGTTTAGTCAAGTATTTGTGGGAATATAGGGTGCTCTATGTGTGATTTTTATCGAATTATCGAAGTTATCGAATTTATCGAATTATCGAATGTAGGCACAATTTGGCTACATTGGTCTCGAACAGGCCAATGTTATCAAAATCAACTACATTGTCGAATGTTAGCATTATTTGCATACACTGGATGCTTTGGGTTATATATAGTATTAGGTTCAGTTGTTCCCTTTTTAATCGAGTTGTAAACAGGGCCATGAACCAACAACCAATGGAATGCCCATCGAAGTAGAACTTGAATGGGAAATCAATTGAGATGGGGGCGAGGAAAACAACTAGGCTGTAGTACACTGTAATCATAAAGAACCAACTCCAACTGGGGTTCAGCATATCTGGTTGAACTCGAGCAAGTTGGAGGGTTCCGATTTTCAGGCATCGTCTGAGGTTGGATGGGGATGGCATGGAGAAGGGCCATGCCCAAAGCTCCAAAACAATGTTAGATAATGATTATCACCCGAGGAAGAACGCAAAAAACTGGCTATAGTTGCAGTAAGTTGGAAGTTATGTTTTCTGGATTTAGGGTTTGAGGATTTTAGGCCTTAGGCGTTTGAGGTTTGGAGTTTGTTCTTGTCAAGGGATATGCGGGATCCGTAACAGGCAAATGTCTGGTCTGTGGCGATGTTTATCCACTAGGCAAAACATAATTACCATCTCTGCCATTTGTTTAAAATCCAAACTTCTAGTCGTTTCCCGATTGCATCATTCCCTTTCCAGCATACGTTGGAGCTTTCCGCAAAGGAGAACTTCGACAAGGGTTTTGACCTGGTGATTTGCTGGGGTGTGTTACATCACACCCATGATCCTTACAAAGGCTGCTGAGCTGCATATGTTCAGAATGCTTTGGGCCATGTTATGTGAAATTACCGGGCCGGCGTGTATATATATATATGCTGTGAATCTACATCATTGCAACCCCCACACTGCCATTTCCTTCCAGCTCACGATGCCAGGAATAATCAACAACAAATGTCTTACCACTTGGAGCACATTGGCTCAGGGTCAGCCTTAGGAGAGGGCATAGGGATAGGGAATCGTGCTTGCCATTTTTGCTTACTGGTCTATTGGCGTGGTCGCCATTTGGAACTTAGAGCCTGGGGCTCATTCAGAACTGGAAGGCCTAGTTGGCCAAGCGATTCTTGGTGCCTTGATCCCAAGGCTTTTGCCGCTGTGATCCTTTTTGCGAGGTCTGACAAAACAGTTTGGCCGCGCTGTGGGTTTTGTGCTTTGGAGGTGCTACCAGGTGATCTGACTAATTGTCAATCACACTGGTAGCGGAGCTACCGTTCCGCAACGGAAGATCCAGGTCAGAGTCAAAGTGAAGAACAAGCTGCTCCAACGCAGCGCGAACCAGCTGCACCACCGCAGCGTATGACAGAGTCATCAGAAGGCTCCAATACAGTCCCGAATCAATTGGCAGTTTTGGTACCGTCATTTGATCCCAGCAAGGATGATCTTCAGGTGTAGACTCAGAAGGTTGAACTGTTGCTAGAAGCATGGCCATCTACAAAGTACACCGAGCTAGCCACCCGGCTTATACTGAACTGTAGTGGGTCCGCATTCAAGAAATTGCAACTGCATCAATCAGAGATCACTCAGAACGATCGCAAGTCCATTCAGAGGATCATAGAACTGCTCGGAGGACACTGGGGACAAATCCCTTTGGAACGCCGTTACGAGTTTGCAGAAAGAGCCCTGTATAAGTGTGCACAGAAAGGGGATGAAAGCGCTGACAGCTACTTGGCTCGTGCTGACATCATGTGGACAGAGCTGAACAACACCAAGTTCAATGTGAGCGATCTACAAGCCTATGTGACACTTAGGGGTAGCATGCTTTCGGCAGAGGACAAGAAACGTGTCCTCATTGATGCTGATGTGGCTGACAAGGGTGAGTTGACTGTGTCCCGGGTCAGCTCCTCGATTCGCATGTTGGGTGCAGGTTTCTTCCAGGAGATGACAGCAGGTCGCAAAGTCTCCAAACTGAAGACGTATGATCAATCAGCTCTGGCCGCCGAGGACATGGATGGTGCTGAATCCGACCAGCCCACCATGGCCATGGAAGGTATTGAAGATGAAGACCAAATGGTTGAAACGTTAGTGCAGGAGGGAGACGAAGATGCATCTCTGGTGGCAGATTTTGAGGCAGCCGCCGCAGACGTCTTGCAGAACGATGAAGAATTGGCAGCCGCCTTGACTTCTTACCAGGACGCTCGAAGACGCCTCAACGACAAAGTCAGATCCAGAGGTTTCTGGCCCATCTCCAACAAGGGAAAAGGCAAGGGGTTCACCAAGGGCCCAAAAGGCAAGTTTCAGAAAGGACACCCGTCCTCCCGGAAGTCACTTCAACAGAGGATCCTGGAGTCACGATGTCGCCTGTGTGGAAAAGTGGGGCATTGGAAGGCTGAATGCCCCAGCCGATCTGAGAGTACAAGTGCCCATGCTCGAGCTCCACAAGCTCCCACGACGTTTGTGCAGGTATCCCATGCTGAGGTCAATGAGGTTTCCGATGGTCTACCGTTAGAATTTTTGAACTTGCCGCTTCATGCTGAAACCACCATGGATGCCACTCAGCACAATAATCAATTTTCATTTGTAACCACCACCCAGTGTAATCCCAAAGATAACCTGAACAGTTCTCTTCAAGCCTGGAAACATTACCACGATCACCACACTGCCACTGCCAGGAATGAACCGATGAGTGCCCAGATGCGATCCAGATTGGCTGCTCGAGCCCAGCAGCGATTGCACACCAGCAGCCATGACCCATGCAACAGAGCTGAGCCAGATTCCGTGTGTTTTGCATCCCATGGATGTATGGGAATAGTTGATCTCGGTGCCACCAAGACCGTGATAGGCAGCCATTTGGTAAAGGGTTTGTTGGATAACCTTGACCCATGTCTCCGATCACAAGTGTTTAGGTGCCCATGTGTTATCACATTTCGTTTTGGTAATCACGGAATTCTGCAGAGCAAATTTGCATTGGTCATTCCGATTCATGGTTTACAATTGAAGGTTGCCATAGTGCCGGGATCCACTCCGTTTCTTTTGTCCAGTACCTTGCTGAGAGCATTGTGTGCCACCGTTGACACTGAGAACCATGTGATGTTTTCCAGAAAACTCAACCGATCGTTTCCTCTACAGCTCACCAGCAAGGGTTTGTTTCTCCTTGATTTAAATGTACTGGCCCAACAACTACCGGGCCAGAAGACCTTTTTTCCAACGGCAGAAACTCATCCCGCAATTGATGAGCATGACCAGAGCATCCGATCCGAGCCCAAAACTCTGCCAGCTGCTCCAAATCAACCCAAGAGCTTGGAAGTTGTCAGAAATCACCGTGAAGCACCAATTCTGAGTGATCAAGTTTCGGAAGTCAGTTATGAACATGTTTCCCAGCGCCCTGATCGGCCCAAGCCATTGCCCCGAGGTTTTCAAACGATCCAACGAAAGTGCCATGACCAGCTTGGCGCAGAGGTTGCTGAACGTGCAGAAGCCAGCCGAGGAAAGTCACCCAGACATCTCTCACCTCACCCTCGGACAGCTGAGAGAGCAGAAGATTGCTTTCGGGAAGGCCCACCAAGGGAAGACTTTCAACCAAATGTGGAAGGAGGAACAAGGCTGGGTCACCTGGTTTGTTCAGAGATTTGCCCAGTCCACCGAAGCCGAACATCGCATTTTCCTGCGTTACGTCGAGCTCGAGATCGAGCGAGCCGAACTCTCAGGGGATCAGGTTCCAGTGAGGAATCAGCAGGAGACCAACAAGCTGATCAACATGGCAGACACACCGCCACAGTCCTCCCAACTGGGAACTGTGGCCAAGGCAAAGGCCAAACCGATGATTCGCCCGACCCCCGAGACCCCGGTCTGGGACTTGGAGCAGGATCCCGATCTCTTCGAGATGATTCCCACCGACACAGGTGTGGTGCAGAACCAACAGATCGAGCACCTCGAGACCAGGATGCTGAATGTGGAGGGCATGCTGAGCAACATCCTTCAGCACCTCGAGAACCTGACAGTGAACCGCTGTACCGAGCAATGAGCAGGGTTGAGTGTCCAAGCATGGCCCATCGTGAGACGGCCGGTGACATGTGCGCAGATTATATGTTCCATACGGATGCCAAAACCACTCCTGAATCCAACCGAGAAGCCATCAGATTCAACCAACTTGTAACCCAATACTCAAAGGAATTTTCCAAGGTTTACCATTCCACTGATACTTCAACTTCACGTTTGAACCTGTTGGAAGTGTTTTGCAGCGCACAGAGCCAGTTGACTCACCAGTCTCAGCGCCTTGGATTCCGAGCTGATCGCTTCGGACTGCAGCAAGGGGATCTCCAGACGGCAGATGGCCGGGCAAAATTGTTTCAAACGGTTTGCAGGCATAGGCCGCAGAATGTTTGGTTCAGTCCTAGCTGTGGTCCGTGGAGTGGATTCTCCTGTCTGAACGGCAGTCAGTCCATGCAAGCTTGGGATGCGTTGCAGGAATCACGGATGCGACACTTAGAACAAGTTGCCCTTGGAATTGTGTTACTAAGGTTTCAGCGACAGCAGAATCGACACTTCCATTGGGAACAACCAAGGGGCTCCATCATGTTCAAGTTGCCATATCTTCAAGAAGCGCTGTACTATTTGCTTTCAGTGGATGTTGATTTGTGCACTGCAGGTGAACTGAAGGATCCCGAGAACGGTAAGCTAATCAAAAAGACCCTAACCATCATGACAACATCCAACAACATGGTAAGGTCCCTCATTGGCTTAAGATGCAACAATCTACATGAACACCAGACCGTTGAAGGTAAGACCCATGTTCAAGGAAAAGCCATCAATCGTTCCACTTTCACTGAGAATTATCCCAGAAAGTTTGCCCGCAGATTAGCCATGTTGATGGGAAAAGTCCAAATTCCCCCTGAACCTGTGTACAGAAATGAAGCATGGAGTGTCCTTGCAGCCGAAGAGCATCCAGAAGCTCCAGCACCCAAGAGAGTCCGACGTGAGCGTTACACCTCTCTCAAGATCAGCCGAGTCCAGGATGTCTCAAAACTCCCATGGGGAAAACGGCAGAAGTGTGTTGGAAAAACCACCCCGATTGACAGTATGAACTCTTGGAAAAGGATCTTCGAAAAGTTACACCAAGTCTTACCTAGAGTAGGAAAAACCGTAATCCACGATGATGAAATCCTTGAGTCCATTCAAAAGTTGATTCCAGAGAAGAACATACACACACTGATTGCCTGTAGGGGAGCCAGTAGAACTCTTGCCCCACCTGAAACACTAGTCAAGGGTCTTGCACCATTCCGTAGAAGTGTTTTCACTGAAAGAGGGTCTGGGGAGATCCGTGCCGAAGAGGATTGGGAAAACTGGGAAATGTTGGCAAAGCGCAACCTGATTCGTCCATCTCATGCCACCCGAATCAACCTGACGATGTTTGGGAACACCAAAGAGCAGGTGTGTGATGTCCCCAGGAATGAACCCGAGACATCCAATGCAGAGCCACCTGTGCCAGACAACCGGCGCATCAATTCAAGTGCACCCGACAGCCAGGACTGTCTCGAAGAAGCCAATCCTGAAATGTCGCAACACCAAATGGAGACACCATGTTCCGAAGACCTCACTAGTTCCCAAAGAGCAGATGCCGGGAGCCAATCACATGGCACGAGATTCAAGGCTTTACCCCGAGATGAACAGATTTCCTTGATCAGAGCTCACAAAAACCTCGGGCATCCAAGCCCGGAAAAACTTAGCGCTGTCTTGCGATCACAGGGGTACAGAGCCGAAGTAGCCCGTGCTGCACTGGATCTCAAATGTTCTGTGTGCCAGGAACATAGTGTTCCAAAGCTAGCCCGGCCCAGCACTCTGCGTGATGAGGGAGATTTCAACGACCGAGTGTGCATCGATGGTCTACAGTGGACTAACAAGAACGGCAAGTTGTTTCATGTGTATCATGTTGTAGACTGGTCCACAAGTTTTCAAGTTGCCCGAATAGCCCCTGACAGATCATCCGCCACCGCCATCCAGACATTGATCGACATGTGGCTATCGTGGGCAGGGTGTCCTATGGAAATGTTAGTGGATGCTGCTACGGAGCTTAACTCCGAAGAGTTCAGTACGTTTGCCCAGAAACACAACATTCGGGTCACCACTATCAGCCCAGAAGCGCAGTATCAGAATGGGAAAGCCGAAAGACATGGAGCCATACTCAAGACCATGCTAAGTAAATATGATGCTGAACATCCCATAGAACAATATCATGACTTAGCCCAAGCACTTTTCTGGTGTACACAATCCAAAAATGCAATGAGCTTGAAGCGTGGGTATGCCCCTGAAGTCCATGTACTTGGCAAACATACTCGTCTCCCAGGTGCTGTCTGCAGTGATGAATTGCTGCCAGCACACATGCTCTCAGAGTCAGAAACTGCCCAGGGTCTAGCGTTTAAGCGGCAGCTTGACCGCCGTGAATGTGCCCGACATGCCTTCATCCAAGCTGACAATGATGCAGCTCTCCGGCGTGCCATGCTGCGCCGATCACGACCCGGTGATCAGCAGTACAGTCCCGGTGAGTGGGTAATGTGTTGGCGACCAGGGAAGGGCACACAACCAGGATTTTGGGCGGGCCCCATGAAAATCGTAGTACATGAGAACCCTCAGACCATTTGGACCACCCAATGCAGTAAACTCTACAGATGTTCCTCGGAACATGTTCGTCCAGTATCCGCCAATGAGTCCCGGAAAATACCATTAGCCACCAATGAACCTTCAGTATCCACCATTGCACAACAATTGTCCAATTTCCAATCCCAAGGTATCACCAGAGCTATTGATAATTTTCCCTTAAATCCCATCACCAGCATTCCGATGGAGGGACCTACGTCCAGGCCGCAACCAAGTCAGAATGAAGAATCCTCAGAGGGTCAACCGGACATGGAACCTGAGATTCCATCCCATCAAACTACACCTTCCACCACCACGATCAATCCTGAAGAAAGCCATAATTCCCAGTTGAATGATCAACAAGTAACCCACAATCCAAGCCCATATGATGTAAACATCCCTGGTATTGAAACCCCAATACCTGACGATGAAGATGGTCTCACATGTGAAGGGATTCACTGTTTAGATGATGACGGGGACACAGGCTTGATCACCGACGGATCAGACATGGCATGGCGATGTGAAGTCGTGGTCAACGACAACGACATTCAGAGCTGGAAACAAGAAGGTCCCAGTGAGCACATGGCTTTTGTCGCATCAGCAGCCAAACGACAACGCTCTGAGGTCAAATTGTCCACGCTGACACAATCGGAAAGAGAGCAGTTCCAGAAGGCGAAGGAATCCGAAATTCAAAATTGGATTAGGACCGGCACCATTTCAAGAATCTTACGGGATAAAATTCCTCATGATCAAATCCTCCGATGCCGTTGGATTCTCACATGGAAACCAATAGACCCCGAAGATATTCCTGATAAATCCCAAGTCCAAAAATCCAAGGCAAAGGCCAGACTTGTAATATTAGGATACTTAGATCCCCAACTTGAGAATCTTCCCAGAGATTCACCTACTCTGGGACGAAATGCAAAGATGTTGTCCCTGCAATTGATTGCATCCATGGGTTGGACTCTCAGATCCTTCGATATCAAGGCAGCCTTTCTCCAAGGTAAAACCCAAGGAGACCGAATATTAGCCATTGAGCCTGTACCGGAACTCATCCAAGCCTTGCAGCTCTCCACGACAGAAGTATGCAAGCTTGAAAAGGGAGCCTATGGTCTGGTGGATGCACCATTTCTCTGGTACCAAGCCATTAATGAAGAACTGTTGAAACTAGGGTTTACACAAAGTCCGTTTGACCCATGTCAATACGTTCTTAGACACCACCAAACGGGAAAACTAGAGGGCATCCTTGGACTCCACGTCGATGACGGCATATGCGGGGGGTCCTCATATTTCTCTGACAAAATCAATCAACTAGAAAAGAAGTATCCTTTTGGTTCCAAAAAGGCCCAACAATTCACATTCACAGGAATCGAAATGAACCAACAACCCGATGGAACGATCACTATGAAACAAAGCAAATACGTCAATGCCATTGAACCAATCAAAATTTCCACTGACCGAAGGAACCAAGGAGAGGAAAAAGTGACGGAGACAGAGAGACAAAGCCTGCGTGCCATCATCGGCAGTCTCCAGTATGCCGCTGTCCACACCCGGCCAGATCTTGCCAGTCGATTGAGCCAATTACAATCCGCAATTAACAGTGCAACAGTAAATACACTTATACTTGCCAATCAAACTTTACACGAAGCCAAGAAGCACAGCAGCACCACCATTATCATTCAACCAATCCCTGTTGATGACTTTCGATTTTTGGCTTTTTCCGACGCCTCCTTTGCTTCAAAGAGCAATCCCAGTTCCCACACGGGTAGCATGATCATGGGCACTCATAAACTGATTTCAGAAAATGTTTCTTGCCCAGTAAGTCCCTTGGCATGGGGCTGCAAGAAAATTCAGCGTGTAGTAACAAGCATCCTGGCCGCTGAAACAGTTTCGTTAAATTCTGTACTTGATCATTTGTCCTGGTTGCGGTTGTGTTGGGGTTGGATGCTAGACCCAAAGGTTGAATGGAAACACCCAAACCATGCCCTAGGTCAGCTCCCTGAATCCTTTTCTACAGCCACCTATAAATCTCAGAGGCTTCCAGATAGTCTAGCCGCCACTGACTGTAAAAGTCTCTATGATTTGGTCACAAGGACAGCTGTTCCCAATTGCGCAGAATATCGCACCATGCTCAATGCCCGGTCCATTAAGGATATGCTCCAAGAAGGAGTGCAACTTAGATGGGTTCACTCTGGAGCACAACTTGCTGATAGCCTTACCAAAATAATGGACAGTGGTTTCTTGAGAGAAACTCTCAAGATCGGAATGTATAAGCTTCATGACGAACTGGAAGTTTTGAAGAGCCGTGCATCAACCAGAACACGACTCAAATGGCTTCGCAGTTCTTGCAAGGAACCTGATGCCGAAGGTTGCACTGATGAATGTTTTCTTTCATTAGACTATGATTTTTTGGGAGTGTGAATCTACATCATTGCAACCCCCACAGTGCCATTTCCTTCCAGCTCACGATGCCAGGAATAATCAACAACAAATGTCTTACCACTTGGAGCACATTGGCTCAGGGTCAGCCTTAGGAGAGGGCATAGGGATAGGGAATCGTGCTTGCCATTTTTGCTTACTGGTCTATTGGCGTGGTCGCCATTTGGAACTTAGAGCCTGGGGCTCATTCAGAACTGGAAGGCCTAGTTGGCCAAGCGATTCTTGGTGCCTTGATCCCAAGGCTTTTGCCGCTGTGATCCTTTTTGCGAGGTCTGACAAAACAGTTTGGCCGCGCTGTGGGTTTTGTGCTTTGGAGGTGCTACCAGGTGATCTGACTAATTGTCAATCACAATATGCATATATACATATATATATATATATTAGTTATCTTATAATTTTGGAGTAGACGGAAGATGGAATCTTTAAGAGATCATGACTAATAACCAATTTGGGTCTATCAACTTCAGGATGATTATGAGTAAGCTGCCTGAAGTAATTACACCTGTTTATCGACTCACAATGTCACAATGGTCTTTGTCGCCAAAACCATATGGTGACTTGACGCCAGTGGTGACATTCAAATTATATTAAATTATATTTAGTAAATGTACTACTCAAGCCTCCAGATGCCTCCAGTTTTTCATTGGCCGTTGAACTGCCATCCGCTGCGACTCCCTCCATCGATGTCGATTTCTGTCAGGTTTCAAGATCGTGTCCTCGGCGTTGCGCGAGGGCGGCGTGCTCTTCATCCAGGTTTACAATGACCGCGCGAAGGCGGGTTTCCACTACACCCAGTCTTTTCGCACCTTGTCATTTCTGGGGATTGAGGAGATGTTGAAGATGGGAGGATAAGCTGATTATTGGCTGGGGGATAATTTTGGAGGTGCCAGCTTGTGGTTAGTTAAGCTTTTACCAGGATTAATGGCCAAAGCGATGGAGAACCCTGTGGATTGAGATATGGCTATGGATAAAGCCGTGAGCCTTGAACTGGAACCACCAGCTACAACCATGAACAATTGCGTTCTGTGAGGAAAGACATGCTGAGACACACTCAATCTTTGCTGGTGTTGGGTGGGAAGTGCCCGCAGCCATGCTGGAATGTCTCACTCAGACCAAAGAAATGCCATTTGTTTCCATCTGCGGCAACGTGGTGGAAGAGGACGCCTTAAACACACTTCACATGACATGGCATAGGAGGAATGGCGGAGGCATAGCGAAGCATGATGCAGGCATTTTGTTTTAATGTCTGCGTCCAACCACCATGCACCGGCAGTTGGGATTTTCAATTTTGACCAGTACTATTAATTTGAGGAACCGACCAAAATCAAAGTTGATATTGATGGTTTGTCACGGGGTTCTACAATAACGACCCAGGATTAATAAACCCCAGGGCTGTTTAATTGAGGGTGTACCATTATAGTCGTTTGGGGAAGCCACTCATGAAGCAGCCAGGGCTGAGTAATCCCAGGTTGACATTTGCCATTTATACTACATTCCCCTGATTGTCCCAGTACATCACCACGGGTTCTTGGTTACAGCCCCATACTTTCCTTGTGTAATCGCATCTAACCCCGGAGTGATAGCCTACGCAAACTCATCACTCGCCCGCCATGTACACCTCGGTCGATGTGTTTCCTTTTAGCCTCAGAGGAATAGAGATTTCACCAGTTCTTGACCAGGATCAATTATAAAAGCTGTGACTGATCATATAGTAAGTTGATTAAATCATTTTAAAGATGGCAGATGTTGGTCTGTAGCCCGGTTCCCGACCATTTGCTCAATTGGAGGATCCGGCATGGAGGATTTATATCAGGATAGGATACAACGTTGGATTCCTAGCTTTCAGCCGTTGTATTGGAGTAGCGGTTTTTCACATACTGACCTGAGGGATGTTGATATGAACCGGATGCTAGCTCTATCACGTTTTTTTTTAACGTTTTGCAATCTGTGCACTGGGCCCCAAGCTCGAGAATGAGCTCCGGCGGCAAAGAGTCGCCCTGATAGTGAAGCAGCCATGGGCCAGAACGATCGTTCCAGGCGAGAAAGCATGGGAGATAAGCACCCGACAGACGCGCAATCGCGGCAGGGGATCCCTCGATAAATGGGTGGCGTAAACCAGACTCAAGTCGTTGGTTTATGATCGGGTATACATGGGTATACCACATCTAGCAAGATTCTGATGGATGGAATGCTGCTGTTATAACCAAGTAATAGTAATAGAGATACCCTCTGGCAATTTAACACAGCTATTGAACATGATCATTTATAGTTGATTTAGCTATTATAAATGATGATTTTCCATAGTTATGTTAGTTTACCAGAGGGTAGTTCTCCAACTAAGAAGTATCGCCCTTCTCCACCTTGGAACTTGCCAAACAAGTGGGGTATGTATGCCCTCATAATATGCATGGAGTGCACACTGTTGGATGCGCATCCCACTTCTACCCTTTGGTAAACTCAGATATAGCTTTAGGACATCACCATTTTCATGGGTAGCTCATCGAACTAAATTAACAATTTCCATAGTTATGTCAGTTTACTGGAGGGTAACAGCTTCATTACCCATATATGACTGATGATATCCCATTTATAAGTGGGTTGTGATGTTATAAGTGTGATATAGACTGGTTCTTCACCAGATACTACAAGGTGGTGCCCAAAAAAGTAATATATAAGTTTGTTTATAAACCCCATTACCCGTAACTATAGATATATTTACCATAAACCATACTTATTGAAGTTTTAAACCAACTTAGCTAACTATGGGGCACCACATTTTAAGCTGGATGCATCACAGCTGAGGTACGCGATTCCATCAGTTGGAGACGGAAGAGCAGAAGCTGGAGTTCCTGAGGAACACCCATAGGTCCGAAACATGTTGGGGTCGGGTAATGTCGGGGACAATGTGGCGCCCCTGTTTCGGACAGCTAAGTTGGTGCAATAAGTAGAATTCATAGCATTTATGAACCAACAAACATCACTGGAGGGCCCCCAACTGGTACATGTTTTGAACATTTTGGGCCCCGGTGGTAGAATGGCGGCATGGCGATGTGAGAGGAATATGATAACCGATGACGATAAACGGACAACGATCACTAGCTCACTGCAGTGTCACGAACGATGGTGAACTTTGAAGGTCGATGAATTGTCCTGGTGCTTTGGAACATGGCTGTTATTTTTCCGTATATTGGGAAGAATAATCCCAACTGACTTTCATATTTTTTAGAGGGGTGGCTCAACCACCAACCAGTGTCTTATTTTTCCAAATTCTTGAAACTCGGAACCAGCAAGTTGGTGCTACATGTGCATACTCTTCGGTGAAATTTTTTTGGTGACCCCGAGTTGGTAGATGGTTTGTCCCATTTTGATCCCATCATTTACTGTGTTTCATAGTTACCAATAGTTACCAACTGGTGCAGGATTTCTTCCATCCACAATATGTTATATACAGTAAATTCAAGGTGTATTGATATATCCGTAGCTTTCGTGGCCAGGCTCAGTCCTAGTGATTCAAAGCCGTGTGTGTGTGTGTGTTGCCATTGAGAGGTTTCAAAACTACCAAAATTCTTCATGGGAATTGTCTCTACTTGTGGTATCCCGTGAAGCAACCTTGAGGTAGACCTAGGGTTTGGTTCAAATTGGTACCTGGAGAAACCACTCCTAAAGGACTTCCTTGATGTGTCACCCGATTTTGGAAATAGGTTGAAACCCCGCTTATTAGATGGACTAACCATGATAAACCCTACATATCCATATCTCACTTATGACTAGTTAACATAATCCACTTACTATATGTAGCATGAAGCAGCGAGTTGCATAGGGGTGAGTAATTAAAACAAAAATGCGGTTGCTGTGCTTATATGGGGTTACATGAATTTCCCTTTTTAAAATCGATGGGATTGTCATAATCCTCTCGGAATCCCAGGGCGGCGGGCGCGGACATCTTCGACCATCTGGATGGAATGCTGACGTTTTACAACTGGGTGATCCATGAAGAAACAGCCGCTTGGCCTGTTTTATTTTGTACAGCATGTGGGTATGGGTCGGCATGGGTCAAGATAAACACAAGACACAAGAAACCACATAGTTTGGATGATTGTGGTCCATGTCTTCAATCATTACCCAGAATCGTCTCGGAGTCGGATTAGGATGGACTAGGTGCTTTTGTTTTTTCCGTTCACCCTCCTTGCAGTTTGCCCCCTGCCCCCCAATGACAAGAAAGAAACACATACCACGGAGTCTCTAGACAGATCCAATTTGAAAAGTGCCAGATCATCTTAAGGTCCCCAATTTGTGCAGATTCTTCCTATCACTGTACTGTAGTGACTATAAGGGCCTGGCCATGGCTTTGAAACTAGATCGGATCAACGTTCCACATTGGCATTCTGACCAATTCTCAGAGGATATGTTGAGGATCTCGGTCTGTGAAAATCCATGGCCCCAACTGGGAATGGTGCATTTCTGACCCCTATAGAACCACATCTTTGTGGGTTGGTAATCCTTATTACAATGGCAATTTGGGGAGCATACCGTAGCATATCCTAGTTTAACATAAGTACCCTATTCATTCCACCCCAGATGGTGATGCCAATATTGTTGCTTGCATATTTTTTTGATGGGAGGCTCAACCACCAGCCAGAACAGTTTGTTTGGAGCTTGTGTTGGTTTTAGTCACCAGCGCCACTATTACAGTCTTTTTGCATTTGGCAGAAACCCAAATCTACTGCACTTCGAGGTCAGAAATTGGTTTCTCACCAACGGCTTTGCAGAGACTTGGGCACATGTTCTCTCAGAGGTAAACCGGTATTTGGACATATTTGGACTACCCATCTATTGCAGCAGGGGAACCAAGACCCCATGACTGTTTAACGGTACTGCTATTCATTGATGCAGAGACTGATATTGAAATCTTTCCCAGATATTTTGATGGGCGTCCTTTTTCTCTTCGTTTGGCGACCATCTCAAAACAAATGTGGGAAACCCAAAAGAAAACCATCGCAAAAATCACCAGAAATGGTTGGTTTTTCAACCATCCCCAACTGGTAGGTTTATGGCATCTCCATCCACTCGATGAAATCCCAGGAATTTCGGGGCCAGTGACCGGACCGGCTACTGAGTAGGCCGTCATTGCTCGTCTTGCTGGGTGAATTTACAGGAATGTAACATTCCTATACACAACTGTTACCATCTGAAAACTTATGATACTTTAATGTAGCTGTGGAAAATCACGATTTCTTAATAAGCAAATCAATGCAAATCATCATACAGAAGATCACCACATCAATGGCACTGTCACTGCCAGTCTTGTCCTAAGGATTACTGGAAGGTTTGGAACTACAAATACCTGGGCCGCAAGCGACCCCTGCTAGCGCCCGTACGAGACGATCAGGGTATTTTGCTGAGAGCCGTGGCCGGTTGGAGCTGTGGAGTTGTGGCTTGCTAGGTCCAAACAAATTTCAAACAAGAAGGACAATTATCTGGTTGGTGGTATGGCATATGTTTTATTTTCCATTTCATATATGGGATGTCATCCTTCCCATTGACTTTCATATTTTTCAAGATGGTTATTGCACCACTAACCAGATTATCCTTGATCCATTGGGAACAGTTTGAGAGATCAGCGTTTGCTCTTTGTGAACACCATAAACATCTTCATTTGGGTTTACATCTGGTAAATTTTGAGATATATACCCATGTCATGCGCGGAAAATTTCATGATGGAACGTATACGCAATTCCAGCATCAACTTGATCGGATTCTTTTCCTGCTCAAATAGGTTTGGCCTTTGCCAGTTTCCTGGGTTTGGCAATTTCATGTCCTATGTTATTCCCGCGATGGTTTGCCCCATCTCTAGGTATAACGCCCATTATGGGGTCCCACTACTACCCCACACCTAAAACTGCAGACTGACAGTAGGCCATCAAGGTATGGTACTGTACCCAGAAGAATTCCCCTTGTCAGGGTGACTTTCAATGATTTTTAGTTCATGATTCTTGGGTTGCTTGCTTCTGAATGGCAAGAAGGCAGTTTGTCGAGGGGTGACACGACGAGGACCCGGGACCCGTTATGTTCATGTTCACCCATCCAACTGTAGCTGCACCATGGCAACTGCAGTAGTTCTATCGCAAATCAACTAATCACTCACCATTTTCAGCGATTCCCCAAGTTTTATGGCTTAGATCAAGTCAAATACTCATGGTTAGTGGTTAAACTATACCGCCAGACCGAAAGTTAGAATGCCACTTTGGTGGAAAGACATGGATTTCAAGGAAAAAAAACGCGTACCGCGTGAGAAATCCGGGAGGCATTCAAACCCTATTTATTTAATCCTGAAACCCCTAAAACTCCAGAATGTTTGTCGAATTTTCGACCGTCCCGTGTCTTCCATGTACTGCAAATATACAAATATCATTCGTAAATTCTCCGTGACTGGGTCAACCTCGGCTAGATACGAAGTATATAGATCGAACTCGTACTTTAATCTTTTGCTATGATGAAATTCGTCCATTCATGTCCATTCACCAGCTAAAGATATGAGACTTTGTTGGCAGCTATCTACAAGGTGGTGCCCCCCAGTTATAAATGGCTTATAATCCCATGAACTAGTTCGATATATCATGATATATCACCCAAAAAACATAGTTATTGGACTAATAAACCAACTTTTCCAGGAAATCTTGGATATTGATTATAAACTCATAAACCATAGTAAAATATCATTATATGAAATGATATATCACCTATAAACCATATAGTTATTGGACTAATAAACCATAGTTAGTGATGGTTTGGTTCAGGAAATGATATTGGAGAGTCGGTGGAGGAGGGTCGAAACTATCCCATCCTGAGCGACTTGGCGTGACGCGAGAAAGGTGCCGTGCCGGGAAAGCCATCGTGTTGGAATCAAGCATAAAAAATGTTGTTTAATATGAAATGATTGGTTGATAATGGTGATAAATTATATATATATATTTATATATATACTCGCCCCTCAAAGTAGATGGCTCCGAATCTTGAGTTGCGCCATCTATGTCAAAAACAAAAATGGGGGATAGATGGCTCAACTCCCTTTAAAACAGGGCAGTTGAGCCATCTATGTCCCTAAAAATGACATATTTTTTGCAATTTTTTTGCAATCTTCTGCGCTGGTTTCCCCCCATATTTTTTTCTCAACATCAAGCTGCTTTTTTGGGACATAGATGGCGCAACTCCCGGAGTTGCGCCATCTATGTGGGCATTCCCAGCCTGATTTTGGCGAAATGACGGAAGTTGTTTTGAGCCAGCAAAGGTCGAGACACTTTAAAACCCAATTTTAACAAGTGACCTGAGGAACCGTTTTTGCGGTCAAGAAACGGTTCCTCAGGTCACTTGTTAAACTTGGGTTTTAAAGCGTCTCGACCTTTGCTGGAAAAATGACGGAAGTTGCGCCATCCATGTCCCAAAAAGGACAACTCTGATGTCTTTCCTGGTGGTTTTGCCTCCTGTCCTTGGACAACTCTGATGTCTTTCCTGGTGGTTTTGCCCCCTGTCTTGGGATAACTCTGATCGATGTGGCATATGTTTGTTAGGTTGGTTGATGGATGTCGGGAGATATGAGGGAGTTGCGCCATCTATGTGGGCATTTGCAGCCTGATTTTGGCGAATGAGTGGGAGTTGCGCCATCTATGTCCCAAAAAGGCAGCTTTAAGGTATTGCAATGAAATTTTAAAAGTGTTTTTCCAATATATTTTTGTCAAAATATGTTGAAAAATGAGATTTCTATCCATAAATTCTGCCCACAATCAATTTTAAAACCTTCAGTGGTTCATTTCTAAGGCGTGGCACTGAATTTTTGAAAGATTTGAATGCCATTTTAGGGACATAGATGGCGCAATTCATTTTTGAACCCATCGAAAAAAAAAATCTGGCGTTGGAATGGGATTCAAGGGACATAGATGGCGCAACTCATTTTATACAATACAAATTTGTGCAATTCTACCGTATATACAAGCAAAAATGATAGGAAATGTAGTAAACTTAGTTAACAATACCCTTATGTCCATCTACTGGAGTGGCAGTTGCGCCATCTACCTTTTCATTTTAAAGTAGGGCGATTTTTTCTTCAATTGGCGGACCTCGTTTTATGTTCCAGCTAAAATAGCGCCGTTTTCTTTCTCAGCGCGCGGTGTCATCTTATGGGTATTTTGGTTTTTGAGTTGAGCCATCTACTTTGAGATCCATGTATATATATTAGCATGTCTCTCTACCAAGTTTTTGGGCTATCTCTTTAGGCACTGTTTTACAATTTTTCCCTAACTTTTGGTAATTTTTGTCCCTAACTTTTGGGATTTTTTGTCCCTAACTTTTCGGATTTTTGGAATTTTTGTCCCCAACTTTTGGGAATTTTTGCCCCCAACTTTTGGCAATTATTGTCCCCAACTTTTAGTGATTTGGGAATTTTTGTCCCCAACTTTTGGGAATTTTTGTCCCCAACTTTTGGGAATTTTTGCCCCCAACTTTTGGGAATTTTTGCCCCCAACTTTTGGGGAATTGGGAATTTTTGTCCCTAACTTTTGGGGATTTTTGCCCCCAACTTTTAGGGATTTGGGAATTTTTGTCCCCAAAAGTTGGGGACAAGAATTCCCAAACAGTTGAGGACAATAATTCAATTCCTATGGGAATAATTATTGTCCCCAACTTTTCCCATAGGAATTTAATTATTGTCCCCAACTTTTTGGGAATTTTTGTCCCCAACTTTAGGGATTTTTTTGTCCCCAACTTTTCCCCAAAAGTTGGGGACAAAAAAACCCAAAAGTTGGGACAAAAATTCCCCAAAGGTTGGGGACAAAAATTCCCAAATCCCCAAAAGTTGGGGACAAAAATTCCCAAATCCCCAAAAGTTGGGGACAAAAAATCCCAAAAGTTGGGGACAAAAATTCCCAAATCACCAAAAGTTGGGGACAAAAATTCCCAAAAGTTGGGGACAAAAATTCCCAAATCCCAAAAGTTGGGGACAACGAATCCCAAAAGTTGGGGACAATAATTGCCAAAAGTTGGGGACAAAAATTCCCAAATCACCAAAAGTTGGGGACAAAAATTCCCAAAAGTTGGGGACAAAAATCCCCAAAAGTTGGGGACAAAAATTCCCAAAAGTTGGGGACAATAATTCCCAAATCCCCCAAAGTTGCCCAAAAGTTGGGGACAATAATTACCAAACTTAGGGTCAATAATTACCCAAACTTGGACAAAATAGCTCTAAAGAAAACGTGATAGAGCGCCATGCTAATATATATATATATATACACACATATGTATTATATATATATTATTTATGTATATATATATATAATATGTATATATGTACCATATATATATGTGTGTGGATATGTGATTGAACCATTAAACATGGTGGTTTGGGATATAGAAAATATTGATGGACATGTAGATATGTTTTGTGAAAAGTTGTCAGATTCGGGATGGATCATGGCACAACTCCTGACAAGCTATCATGTTTATTTGGTTGGTGGTTTGGAACATTTTGGATTTTTCCATATATTGGGAATAATCACCTCAACTGACTAATATTTTTCAGAGGGGTTGAAACCACCAACCAGCTGTAGTCTGATGTTTTCGATTTTACTGGCTGAAGAGAAATCTGGGGACCTTCATACTCGTTCATAGATTCGGATGACACGTTCTCCTACCCATCACAAACAACATGGTTAATAGGTCACTCATGATTCTTGAAAGTTCCGCAACTGACGCATAGTGAGATCATTCACAATTTGAGTGCATTTTTGTTCAGTGAGTAGTTCCGAAAGTTACCTCACAGAAATTTGTTCGGATTAATAACTTCCTCATTAACAATATCTATAATCACCACAAACGCAACAGCTAAGATATGGACCTGACTTAAAATGATCTTCCCAGTGGATCAGAGTGGTAACCTGCAAAGTGGGGCCCGTGGGGCCCGTTGGTTTGTTACTGTTTCTATGGATTTGCTGCTATAATTTGGTTATCCCTATGAACCAGCGATGATAACAATTTGGGATTCTGAAGGCTTGGTCACACCTTTCAGTTCTGGTTGTTGAAAAAAAACCACTCTATACTGAGATATATAGCCTCCGGTAAATAAACATAGACCCTGAAAATTCTTATTTTGTAGTGGAAACTAATCTTCCTGGCAGGGTCTATGTTAAATTACTGGAGTGCAAATGGGATTAAATTAGACGGGGTTTTAATGGTAGGGGCCATCATTGTGGAAATCCTGCATTGTAGCTGATAATTTTCATGATCCAGCTGATTCAAAACAAAGAAACTTCGAAGGGCAACGCCATGTCCAAAAAAAAACACGGCTTTTGGATTTGATCTCCCAAATGGTTTTGACAGTCTCCGATTTTCCTCACCTTTTTTGCCATGTCTCTATATCGTGTTTAACCAAGAAGCAGACCGCAGACGACGTCTATCTTTAAATCTAAATCACTATAGTTTTAAACTAAGGTTTATGGTAGATATATCCATAGTATGAGTATAGCTATATTATATCGACCATACCACTTACTTATGTTACATAGAATGTGCATATATGTATATACAGCAGTGTAACCAATTATGAGGCACCACCTTGTATTTTTCTATCCTTTTGGGGTGCTAGCCCATCAGCTCGACCAAGGTCCTTAGCCTGTGTGGCAGGGCAACCATTTGCGGATGAAATGCAGAAACGACTGCGGTGCAGCTTGCGAAGTTGTGAAGTCAACGCTTAGTCATTTTTTGTCTTAGTGTGTTGTACTGACATGGGTAAACTGATCACCCTGAGTATTTTGGTGTACCCTATTCTCAATTAAAAGAAACGTGGATGTGTCCTGTGGTCTTTAAAGTATTTTCAGCGGATTGTTGTTCCTCTTCCCACGATCATTTTCCGGCCTTTTTCTTTGTGGACTTGCTACCGATTGATTGTTTTCAGTACCATGAAGATTTTGCTGACGAGAAACCATTATCAAATTCATCTTGACGTTAGCTGTTCAACTGCATACGCTGTTTCAGAGATTGGTAGGGAACCATTAGCCAAATTGGCACCTTCTGCAGCAACTTCCATCCCAGTTTGTTCCCTACTTGGTGGTTCACCACAGTTCGTAAGTGTGTTATAACATGGTATAACCCCAGCTATAAGTAAGGAGGATAGCTTTTGAACCAGCAAGTATCATATATATATATATCCCTACCAAAATCCCGTCACACCCAAATATATCCTCATATACTAACTTCGTTATATCCCACAGTTATACACACTCTATTCCAAAGAGAACATGTTATCCAAACATCCATCAGCTTGGCTCGCCGAGGCGCGAATTGATCGCAGCGAATGCAGCCAATCCCAAGTCTCAGGTGGAGTTTTTGGGTGCGTTTTTTGGCAGACACACACCCTCATCTTGCAGGCAAAGCTGAATAGTATGAATATCATGTGGGATATCACCACTATCTGACTATATATATTACCCTCTGGTTATGACTAACAGTTCGCCATGGTATAGATGGCCCATTTATAGATGGTTCACCTATTAAAAAATGGTGATTTTGCATGGCTATGTTGAGTAACCAGATGGTATATACATATGAGATATCATTGGAGATATTTCATGGGGCTTCACCCGTCATATTCCAGGCAAATCGTTGGGGAGATTTTGGTGGGTGTCTAACCAAGCCCTCATTTTCCGGTTACCTGTCAGATAGGCCACATGAGATTAACACTGGGAGCTTAGGGACACACATATATATATATTATATGGAGATGCATCAACTTCTTTTTTATTATACCAGAATATACAACATTTTTTGGAAATGAACAGTGATAAATTCCAGCTATTTAGGTCTGAAATTTGGGATGTTTTCCCTGACCACCCACCCTGTGAATGTGGGTTTCATATCCAACAATAGGGGTAAATACCCGCATAAAAATGAAGCAAATGCAAACATCGGTAGGTATGAATATGATGCAGCACGTGGGATTGGCAAAAAATGATGTTCATGAGTTTGTTAATGGGTAAGGATTTGGAGCTTGCTGCCCCAGTTTCTTCAAATATGTGTCAACTGACGGCATTTTCTCAAGGGGTTCACATCAAACGACTGAACTACGTCTGGAACAGCGGAAGCAACAAATCAGCAGATGTTTAAGTGAGTTGATTTTCACCATATAGTCCAATTCTACACGTGTGAAATGAACAAATCCATTAACACTTGGCACTCGGGTTTCTGAGGTTGTGTCCATTGATTTGTTTTATTAGATATCAAAACAGTTGGATGATCAAACAAAAATAGAAGGCTCATCCGATTCAGATCGAATGGCTGTCAGTTTACCAAGGTTTAGTCCTATCCCCCCTTCCACTCCCACTGGCGGCCAGGGTCCCTTCACCATGTCAGGACAGCTGGTGACTTGGTTGAGCCGTTGAGCCCACCAGAAATCATAGATTAGATATTGTAATCACCATTTGGATAGTATGTTGTTTTTATATATATACCATGTTCACTCAGCTTAATTATTTATGTTTATGTTCACCTCTCCCCTTAGTTCTAATGCTTTTTAAACTTGAAAAAAAGCAAAAAAAAAAAGGAAAACACATGGAAAATCAAAAAGCAAAACTTCAAAACCGAAAAAAAACAGGAAGCACAATAAATGGGAAAAGAAAGGAACGTCAAAAAGGGTGAAAAAATGGGAAAAAACATGGACTTGTCGATTTGCATTTGTGTTTCTTTTTTTTTGCTTTTTCGATTTGCTTGTTTTTGCTTTTGTTTTGCTTTTATTTTTTTTTTTGCCTGGAAAAAAGGAAAATAAAAGCAAAAAAAAGCAAATCGAAAAAGCAAAAAAAAAGCAACAAAAATGCAAATGGACAAGTCCAGTTTTTTTTTCCCATGTTTTCCCCTTTTTGTCTTTCCCTTTTTTCCCCTTTTTTTTCCCTTTTATTTTGCTTCTGTGTTTTTTGGATTTTGCTGATTTGCTTTTGGGTTTTCCCATTTTTTTTTGCATGTTTCGCGTTTTTTTTTCAAGTTTTAAAAAAATAAGAATTAACGGTGGTTTGGTGAACTTAAATTTATGTGTATATATATATACATATAATATGGTAGAAATATATATATGTGGTGTATATATATATATACAGTGTGTATATATATATATATTTATAATTATATATAAAGTGTATACATATATATATAATATTATATACAGTGTATATATATATAGAATTATATATACACCGTACGGACAGTTCAACCTTAACAAATAGCGATTCCGTTGGAGCGCCTTGATGAACTGGGATTGTTATCTCTCTGGAAGATGAGGGAATCATCATCCAGATATCACAAACAAGAAAGGGCAAACAATAGATGTTTGGATAGCTTACAGGGACCTCAGACACAATAAAACCGTGTAAACAGTGGTTGGTATATCGTGCAGGAACCATTCAACATTCGAAATCTGGTTTGAATATACCATATACATCTATACTTGGTGGTTTATCCCACGGATCGTAAGTGGGTTAGTTCACCCCATTTTTTAAGTGGACATTGCCAATAATGTTACATCGACAATAGTAAAGGGGAGGCCCCCCACATTTTTTTTGGGGGGGGGTCGGCTTTGCAATAGTAAATCGAAAATCCCAACTCTTCCCCAAGGCTTCTGTAAGGTTTTGACAAATCATCTCTTTTCTGATGGGCTCTGATGGGATCTTCATTGGATTCTGATTGAGAACCTCTGTTTTCTGATAGGCTCTGATGGGATTCTCATTGGATTTTCTGTACCTGGGATGGATTCTTGGCATTTGGTGGACATGTGCTGGTGGGCTATGGCTTGGTGACCCTGGGAGAGTTTCTGCAGCTGGCACTGCTGTGTGTGGTGATCACTCTGCTGAGTGGCATTCTGCAAGAGCTGAAGTGGCATGGTGAGCTTCTGAGAGCCCATGGTGTAAAGCTGGACATTCTGATCGAACTCAGCATTACGGCTGGCTAGTTCTGATTTTCATGGAGCTGAACAGTCTGTTTTTCTCAGTGTAGTTGCATTCTGTTATCTGGGAGTTGAGAGTCTAATGGAAGTCTGTGAGGGTCTGATTGCCTTCTGATTGCATGAGGTTCTGATGGTTTCTGATAAGTGGTTTTCAATGGAATCTGATGCATTCTGCGCGGCTTCTGCATCTATATATACTATATATGCCATGAGCTACCGGCCACTCACTGCTGGGGTTTCGGCCGGGTCTAGCCTTGCATTGGCTCTTAAGCTGCTGGACTTCGACCAGCGCTCATTGGTTGATCTCTACAGGTCAACCGACACTGCCAGGTTTGACTTCCTGTCCTTCAGCCTGGGCCGGGATCTGCCTCTACGTGGCCATTGAGTGGGTTGTCACATTGCGCTGGGCCGAGTGACTGGCCCACCGACCCCGCCGAAGCGGAAGGAGTTCTACAAGTTCCTTTGATGAGTGGTGGCCGCATCGCTGACATCGAAGAGGAGATCAGCGAACTACGAGAGCAGTTGGACGAGCTTAGGCTTGAGGTGTCCCATCGAGGTGCGAGTGGGCGTAACCTGAACCCGCTGCCTTCGAGAATTTGGGTGGTGGTTAGAGACTATGCAGGACAGATCTACACACCAGTGAGGGTGTCCAGAAGCTGGGGCTCTTGCAAGATCTTCGTCAAGCACTTCGAGGACGTTGGGGACTCCCTCTTTTGCGGCTTCCCTTCTGAGCGTGAGGGCAGACAAGCTGTTTCAGTGGCAGACCTTCAGTGGCCTGCCCATCTGGAGCAGTGATGGTTCAAGAGGAGGCTGTTGTGGCACCGGAGGAGGGTGCCTCTATTTCCCCTTACGTCATCGACGACAAGGGGGTCAATCCTGAATTTGTTGTGCACATTTACTTTGACGACCTTGACAGTGGTGACGTCGCTTTCCCTTTACTTTTGGTTGCGAAGCTTGACGAGAAGATTTTGGTTGCAGTGCCTCATCAAGCATGGCACCGCACTACTTCGAAGAGGAGCATGCAGGTGGGGGCTTTGAGCAAGGCTACAGTGGTGGAGGTCTTAGCAGCTGCTGCAGACTCCAAGGATGTCATGGAGCCCGAGTTTTTCATCAAGTGTTGGGTGGGGTTCCTCAAGCCGGAGTTGATCAACCATGTCCAGCCGCTGCCCTGAGCATCGCATATTGATTAGAATCAAGATCTTGATTTGATGGGGTTCAAAAATCAATCTGAGATATTGATTTTTCAAAGGCAAATTTCAAAGTAAAAAATATCATTTTTGGAGTATCAAATCAAGTGGAGAATCAAGATTGCCAAAAGGGAACATCAAGAAAAATATCAAGCTAGAATCAAGAAAAATATCAAGAAACATCAATATCTCAGAGCATCAAACTATTGTTTGTAATCCATATTCGATGCTCCGGGCCAGATATTCAGAGTAGAGTTGCAATCTTGATTAATTACCTAATCTTGAAATGGTCAAGTTAATTTCTTTATTTTTTCTCCTCCTCCTTAGTTGGTTTCTTGTGCTTCCCTGCCTGTGCAGGGAAGCAACCTGTACACTGTACACTGTGCATTTTGTCGCCCCTTTTCCAAGGGGTATTACCACTTTTGTTTCTTCCATGTTTAGATGGCCAAAAAACAAATCACCAGAACAAACAAAGAATCATGAATAACAAATGACCTTGCACAAGTATATGATGGTGCAATACTTTTCCATTTCAACA